TTATATGGACATTCACAATAAGCTTTGCATGGTTTGAGATTACAAATAATGGCCACTGACCCCAGTCTTTAACTGGCCTTCACAGCAAGGAGCACAAGGAAGGGTGACACATGTCAAACAGAAGAGAAAAATTCCCAGCTCAATTTGCCAACCAGCCTTCAAACAAACAGAATTAACCCGTCTAACAGTATGCGTTAAAAACATGGTTTAGTTAGCACCGATATGCAAACACATGTGTAAGCTGCAGAGCCTCGTCATGGCACCCCGATATTCTGTAGTTCCTAACTCTGCAAATTTTGAGAGCCCCCATAGTAGAGGCACATGTATTTAATGGATAGACCAAGGGCAGGTGGACCTGAGAGAGCCCACCCCTCCTTAAAGGTACAGGAGCGCACTGGACACCCAGCATGTAGCACAATGGCAGTTAAGGTGTCCAGCGCACCCCCTCATCAACAATTCAACAGTACAAAAAATGGCCACTGCCCCAGTCTAACTGGCCTTCACATCAAGAAGCACATGGAAGGGCGATACGTCAAACAACAAAAGAGAAAACTTCCCAGCTCAACTTGCCAACTAATCTGCAAACAAACCAAATGCTGGCTGTCCAGTGCACTCCTGTACCTTTAAGGAGGGGTGGGCTCCTTCAGGTCCACCTGCCCTTGGTCTATCCATTAAATTCATGTGCCTCTACTATGGGGCCTCTCAAAATTTTTGTAGAATTAGGACTACAGAACATTGGGGTGCCATGACGAGGTTCTGTAGCTTATGCATGTGTTTGCAAATGTGTGCTAACTAAACCGCTATTTTTAACGCATACTGTTAGACAGGTTAATTCGATTTGTTTGCAGGCTGGTTGGCGAGTTGAGCTGGGAATTTTTCTCTTTTGTTGTTTGATATAGTTTGAGATGACCAGGTCCAGCGTAGCATCATTCCTAGTTGGGGCTTCTATGAACTGTACCATAAAATTGTCCTGTAGTAGGTTTATAAATTTTTGCCCTTTAACTGTTCCTGCAGTACAATTACTCCAGTCAATTTCTGGGTAGCTAAAATCCCCCATTATTATCACTGTCCCAGCCCTTTCCATCTGTGGGAGGAGCTGAGTTTCCATCTCCTCATTAACACTGGGAGGCTTATAGCCAACACCAATGATTACCTTCGTAGTACGCCCCCCATGTGCAGTTCCACCCATAATACTTCAGCCTCATCACACTCTCCATCAACTAGATCCTCTTTCACACTCGCTCTGAGATCACTTCTCACATAGAGACAGACACCACCACCTTTCCTATTTCCCGCGTCTCTCCGAAAGAGAACCTAGTCAGGAATATGAATGGCCCAGTCATGTGAAGAATGAAGCAAGATTCAGAAATGCCAATTCAGTCCTAGTTCTCTTCATACACCAAAGCTTCCTACTCACCTATTTTGCTTGGCAGACTTCTGGCATTGGGGAACAAACACTTTTATTTACTGACAACCTCGTTCACATGTATTTTGCTTATTTTTTATTTTCATACAAACGGTACCAATTCCAATGGTTGTTTGGAACATTCTTATAATCTGCCACAGACCTCCCCCATCTTTCCCCATTACACCCACATATTAGGAAAGACACCTGTCTGATCTGACTGCCCCACAATAATCAAATTTTCCCTCCCCCTTCGATCCTAGTTTAAAAAAGTACTCCTATACTCCAGTATATATGACTGTATACAGTACAATGGTGTGAGTGCTCCAATACTCCAGTATATACGGCAGTGTACAGGACCATGGTGGGAATGCTCCTACACTCCAATATATATGGAAGTGAACAAGACAAAGGTGAGAGTGCTCCTATACTCCAGTATATGCGGCAGTGTACAATACAGTGGTGGGGGTGCTCCTATAGTCCAATAAATACGGCAGTGAACAGTACAGTGGTGGGAGTGATCCTATACTCCAGTATATACGGGTGTGTAATGTACAGTGCTGAGCGTGCTCCAATACTCCAATATATACGGCAGTGTACAGTACAGTGGTGAGAGTGCTCCTATACTCTAATATATACAGCAGTGTTAAGGACAATGGTGGGAATACTCCTATACTCCAGTATATATGGCAGTGTACAGAACAGTAGTGGGAGTGCTCCTATAGTCCCAGTATATGCAGCAGTGTATTGGACAGTGGTGAGAGTGCACCTATATTCCAGAATTTACGGCAGTAAAATGGACAGTAGTGGAGAGAGCTCTCCCAATAGTCCAGTATATATGGCAGGGCACAAGACAGTGGTGGGAGTGCTCCTATAGTCCAGTATATACGGCAGTGTACAGGACAGTGGTGTGGATGCTGCCTTAAGTCCAGTATATAAATGGCAGTGATAGGAGGACAGTGCCACATTGTGCTCTTATACTCCAGTATAAATGGCAGTGTACTCCCACACCTGTCCTCTTACTGCCGTATAACTGGTGAGGATAGGAGCACAGTGGTGGGAGTGCTCCTATACTCCAGTATATACTGGCAGTGTACAGGACAGTGGTGGAGTCACTCCCTGTACACAGCCTTGCTTAGTAAATACTGCAGAGTATAGGAGCACTCCCCCACACTGTGTGTACACTATTTATGCCGTATATACTTGAGTATAGGAGCACTCCCACCACTGTCCTGTTTACTGCCGTATATACTGGAGTATAGGAGCACTCCCACACCTGTCCTCTACACTGCCGTATATACTGGAGTATAGGAGCACTCCCACACCTGTCCTGTACACTGCCGTATATATACTGGAGTATAGGAGCACTCCCCCACACACTGCCGTATATACTGGAGTATACACTGCCTGTCCTCTACACTGCCGTATAATACTGGAGTATAGGAGCACTCCCACACCTGTCCACTACACTGCCGTATATACTGGAGTATAAGAGCACTCCCACCACTGCCCTGTTTACTGCCATATATACTGGAATATAGCACTCCCTCCCAAAATTCTCCTGTTTACAGTGCCGTATATACTGGAGTATAAAAGCACTCCCACCACTGTCCTATAAACGGCAGTAAATACTGTGCTATAGGAGCACTATCAACACTGTCCTGTACACTGCTGTATATACTGTAGTATAGGAGCACTGCAACCACTGTACTTAATACTGCCATATATACTGTAGTATAGGAGCACTCCCACCACTGTCCATTTCAACCCCCTATTCTGAACTATAGGAGCACTCCCATCACTGTCCTGAATACTGCCATATATATTGGACTATAAGAGCACTCCCACCACTGTCTTGTACATTGACCTATTTACTGGACTATAGGAGCACTCTAACCACTATCCTGTACACTGCCGTAAATACTGGAGTATTGGAGCACTCCCACCAATCTCCTTTACACTGCCATATATACTGGACTATAGGAGCACTCCCACCACTTTTCTGTACACTGCCATATATACTGGACTATATGAGCACATCAACCACTGTCCTGTTCACTGCCGTATATATTGGAGTTTAGGAGCACTCCCACCACTCTCTTGTACACTGCAGTATATACTGGACTATAGGAGCACTCCCGCCACTGTCCATTTCACTGCTGTATATACTGGACTATAGGAGCCCAGCAACCACTTTCCTTAACTGCCATATAATACTGTAGTGTAGGAGCACTCCCACCACTGTCCAGTTCACTACCGTAAATACTAGACTATATGAGCACTCCCACCACAGTCCATTTCACTGCCGTATATACTGGACTATAGAGCACTGCAACAACTGTCCTGTTCACTGCCGTATATACTGTACTATAGAAGCACTCCCACAACTTTAATGTACACTGCCTTATATACTGGACTATAGGAGCACTCCCACCTCTGTCCCGTTTACTGCCGTATATACTGGACCATAGGAGCACTCCCACCACTGTCCTGTGCACTGCCATATATACTGTAGTATAGGAGCACTCCCACCACTGTCCTGTATACTTCCAGAATATACATAGTATAGGAGCACTCCCACTACTATCCTTTACATTCCCAAAAATACTGAACTATAGGAGCACTCCCAGCTCTGTTCTGTACACTGCCATATATACTGAACTATAGGAGAAACACACACCACTGTCCTGTTCACTGCCGTAAAATACTGGACTATATGAGCACTCCCACCACTGTCCTGTACACTGCCATATATACTGTTGTATAGGAGCACTCCCTTCACTGTCCTGTTCACTACCGGAAATACTTGACTATAGGAACACTCCCACCACTGTCTTGAACACTGCCGTATTTACCGGAGTATAAGAGCATTCCCACCACTGTCCTTTACACTCCTTAAAATACTGAACTACAGGAGCACTCCCACCTCTGTTCTGTACACTGCCATATATACTGGACTAGAGGAGCACTCCTACCACTTTCCTAAACACTGCACATTATACTGGACTATAGGAGCACTCTAGCACTGTCCATTTCACTGCCATATATATTGGACAATAGGAGCACTCCACCACTCTATATGTTTTTGTATATACTGGAGTATAGGCGCACTCCCACCACTGTCCTTTACACTGCCTTATATGCTGGACTATAGGAGCAATCTCAACACTGTCCTGTTCACTGCCTTATATATTAGAGTTTAGGAGCGCTCCCACCACTGTCCTGTACACTGCCATATATACTGTAGTATAGGAGCACTCCCACCACTGTCCTGTACACTGCCTATATCAGTGATGGCGAACCTTTTTGAGCCCGAGTGCCCAAACTGCAACCCAAAACCAACCTTATTTCTTTCAAAGTGCCAACACTGCAATGAAACCTGAATATCGAGCTTTTGGTTTAGAAAAAACAACTCGAACAGTAGTGCAAACTAATTAACATTACAGGTATGACCAGAGACTGCGGACACAGTAACAGGGATGACCAGAGACTGCGGACACAGTACAGGGATGACCAGAGACTGCGGACACAGTACAGGGATGACCAGAGACTGCGGACACAGTACAGGAGATGACCAGAGACTGCGGACACAGTACAGGAGATGACCAGAGACTGCGGACATAATACAGGAAGATGACCAGAGACTGCAGACAGTACAGGAGATGACCAGAGACTGCGACACAGCACAGGAGATGACCAGAGACTGCGGACACAGTACATGAGATGAACCAGAGACTGCGGACAGTACAGGGATGACCAGAGACTGCGGACACAGTACAGGGATATGACCAGAGACTGCGGACACAGTACAGGGATGACCAGAGACTGCAGACACAGTACAGGGATGACCCCCAGTAGAACTGCGGACACAGTAACAGGGAAGACCAGGACTGCGGACACAGTACAAAGGATAGACCAAGAGACCTGTTGCGGACACAGTAGCAGGGATGACCAGAGAACTGCATACATTACAGTGATGACCAAAGAAACTGCGGACAGTACAGGGATGACCAATACTTGACTGCAGACACAGTTACGAGGAGATGTACCAAAAGACTGCGGACAACAGTACCAAGAGAATGACCAGAGACCAGCAGACCACATTAACAGGAGATGACCAGAGACTTGCGGACGACAGTACAAGGATGACCAAAGACTGCGGGAACAGTACAGGGATGACCAGAGCTGCGGGCCAGTACAGGGAAAGAC